TCCTAAAGTGAGCATAAACCAGAGGTTTGATAAATCCAATTGGCATTTGTTAACTGACACACTAGAACTCTTGGTGGCATGCAATGTCATGGTCTCCTCCCCCACTCTTGAAACAAACTCTGTTCTTGGCTTCTGTGATGCATCTGGCTTTGCTTCTGATATCTCCTTTTCTGTGTGTGTGTATGGGGGGAGGGGGAGCAGAGAGAGAGACAGAGATCCTTCTCCTTTTCTTGATTTTTAAACATTAAACTTCCTCAAGACTCAACCCTCTGTACCATGATGCTCTAATTCCCTAATTTTTATCTCATGCATATCTTTAATTCCACCTACCAAGTAAATGCTCATAATTTCCAAGTGAATACCAACCTCTCCTCTGAGCTCCAGACCTACCCAACTATTCTCAAGGGCAGCTCATATATAACTGGAATGACAATCAATTCACGAGCACTCCACTCTTCAAACCTGGCAACTGTTCAACCTTTCTGTCTTAGAGAACACCCCAGTCTTCCTCTGATTTCCAGACCCCAAATCATTGCATTGTTCTTGACCTTGCTCCTGTTCATCAGCAACATCTATTTCCTTAAGGAGACCTACTGGCTTTCTCTCAAATGCTTTTCTCTATTCACCTAGCCCTCATTCAAGAGGGCTTTAGCTTTTCCCTGCAAAATACTCTGCTGATTCTCTTTGCTTTTACTTCATACTCCTCCAAGCACAGAGGAAAAGATGGCCAATTAAAATATAAACCAACTTCTCTCTTCTGGTAACGTGCAAGCCTGGAGTGATTTTGCTAAACCCTTAACATCTGATCTGACTTTGACTTTCTTGGTCCCAGCCTGGTTGGCACTTTGGTTCCTTGAATACGCAATCTTGTTTCCCATCCAGAGAGCTTTGCAAAGGCTATTTCTCTCGTTCCAATGTCCTCTGCATTCACTTGTCCAGCTAATATTAATCCTTGCCTAATCAGCTAATTCATTAAAATTCAGCTGAAATCTGGGAAAAACGTCACCTCCTAGGGAAGCTCTCCCAGAATCATCAATGTGTGTCTCTCCCCCTCACAGCACCATATGCATCATGAAGGCCAGGATGCCTATTTTATTCACTGCTTCATACGCAGCATTTTGTAGGAACCCATAAAGTGCTGAATAAAATGCATGCATATGACAAAGTGAATGAACACGGCTAAGGTGGGTATGTCAGAGGGGCTACAGTCAGTGCAGGGTCTTTAAATCTATATTCATACCAAGGGATGTTGTAGATTAAAACAAGACTGTACACTCATGTGGAGTTTTATATACATTTCACCACGAGAAAGAGTCCCTTGTGGAGAACAAAACTGAGAATCCTCAACTTAGATCATAAATAAATGCATTTATGTATCCATATTCTTAGAGCTGTCAGGACAGCAAGATCCTTAGCATTAGAAAATATGCTACCTACTTAGTATGCACACTGTGAAGCACAATACCTGACTCATCATTAAGTGAATCTCTGTTTATTAAATGAGTGGATACATATTCTCGGAGGAAGATAATGCATACCTTTCATCACAAATACTACTTTCTGCTCTAAATAAGGCTTAATGATGCTTAACTTTGATCTGCTGTTGTCTCTTCTAATGTCTTTGTGATTATAACTTCATATCTTAGAAAAAGAAGCCCTTCGTGGATAATTAGCAGCAATCAAGAGAAGCTTAAACATGCTATGAAGGTAAAGTTTCTGTCAAGAATAATTTTCTTTGTAGGAAATATACATGGTGAGATGGGCTGAAGGCATACAGGCAGCAGTGGGGAAGTTCTCAGAACCATTTCACAAGGATGTTTCTCTAAGCCCAACCTTCCTGGACAAGCCCCCCACACCGACTGGGTGGAATGCTTCTGAAAGGGATGGTCTGTACATTTTGTGCATGACTCTGCCGCTGAGGCCTCATTATGCTAATAGCTAATTAATTTCTCACAAGTGAATTTCTAAACATCTCAACTGCATCAATCTCTACAGTCAGGCCTCCCTTTTTTCCCCCTCTGTTTAACTAAATGGTCATAGTCAATGAGACAATACTAACAATAAGTTCACATGGGTAAGGAACATGATCAGTTTGGCTGGACTTTAAGAAATACTACTCTCATCTTCAGTGAATTCGGCAAAATCACAGAGACTTACACAATGGAGCCAGTCAACATCTCAGTTCTCAATGGTACAGATTTTGTGATCCACATAGAAATTGAGAGGCATTACAAGAATTATCCAGGGAACTCAGACTAATTAGAGCATGTCCCCAGTTCCTGAAGTGGCAAACCTTAGAAGCTCCTTAAATATGAGATGAAGGCACAATGGACTTAAGGGGAAGAAATTGAATAAAGAGACAACAGTGTTAATACAAAGAGACATTTAAACTTGTTACTTCAACTGAAAAGCTTTACCTTGGGAATAATTCACAGTTTATCTCTGAGAACTAGGATACCTAGTTAAAATGACACTTTCAACTTCAGGAATCTTCAGCTATTATTTATTTTTCCCATTTTCTAAATAATATTAAGGAACATGGGTCATGCATTCATGTGGATTTAGTATTAATTGAGCTGGCACAATTTAAACTAATCTCTCCCAGTTAACTTATATTCAAGGATAATAACTTATAGTTTATCAGATTTATGGCTCAAGTAACAATACTTTGAGCCACTTAGATGGAACTAGTCACTTTTCTTTTTTCTTTAATCATAATTGATTTGTCTTTTAGCTAAATGTTGCTATTTTTATCAGAATGGGATTTATGGATATTTTCAGGCTAAGTGAAATGTCATGATATTCTACCAGAGTGAGAGTAGTTTGTCTGCATGAGAGTAAAGAGTCCCTGCTGGGTTAAAGTTAGTTTTACATAATCAATATGCAATAATTATCAATAAATCAAGCAATTTATCAAATGCACTAGGATATACTTCCAGTGATTACTTCTACCAACACTAACACTCCCTTTTATAGCCCTTTATAATTTACAAAGTACTTTTACATACTCCCATCAATTAAGTCATAGAAACACCATCTTAAAGGTAAGACAGAGGCATCGAGAGGCAGTGGTAACTGGACCAAGATCACGTGGTTGGAAGTGGAGAGGGGAAGCAGAGCCTGAGGCTTCTGCCCCACGTTCAGGGTCCTGTTCATATGGAATTGATTCCAGTGACAAATATGGTCACCCTTCCTGGCCTGTAACTGCCAGATCTAAACATCAGTGTATTTGTTTTCCTTGTGATCTTTGGTTGAGGCAAGTGCAAATGATCCCACAGATGTGCAGAGTTCACCACACACACACACACACACACACACACACACACACAGAGTTATTTGTATAAAGCCAGGAGGACCCTGGGAAGATATAGCTAATACAAGGCACTTTCCCATCACTGACCCATCTGAAGCCCGTGACTGAATTTAACTTTGGGTAAACAAGAGTTACATAAACACTTTCACAAAAGAATCAGGAAACAGAAATAGACCGAAGAACACTTTAGTTTAAAAGAGCTCTGGTTTTTTTCTAGTAACTGCAAAAATACGTACACAGTTGCTCATATAGGTTTTAGATAAATTTTCAAGATTACTGCCAGTTATACATACAAAAAGTGTATAATATGATGCATATTTATATGGAATGACCCATGGTAATCTTAATGGACTATATATACTCAAGAAAAATATGGTAACATAAATTATAAGTATGAGGTTTTTATATAGCAAATGTTCCCTTAAGGATAAAGTCCATTATAACAAACGGAGTTTTGTAACTTTGAAAACTGATAAGGTAGCTTAAATGCCCCCTTATGGCATCTCAGTAGGAGTAGTGCTAATACCAGGAGCTAAAGTCTAAAGTCAGTACTAATAGGTATTTTAACCTACTGTAGAAATAACCCCAGAAAATTAATATTTACCACCCACAGTGCAGACAGTCCTAAGGACTGCGTGCAGTTTGGCATTAAACCTGGTTAGTGTGGTTCCTGAGCAGATCTCACAGAGGCACCACTTCCGTCTGGCCTCAGGATATGTGTGTCTGTGTCCCTCAAAGGGCCAGAGGAAACAAAAGCAACTATATGGGGAGGAAATGGTGAATATATTGGCAGCTTGGAAGATGATAGAATGTTATCAGTCAAAATGAATTACAGGATTTATTTTTTTTCATTGTAACCAAATTTTTAATCTTCCTAGATTCTCAAGGCAAAAGCAATTAATTTTTTTTTTTGCTTTTGAGGTTACTACAAAACCAACCATATTCTGCCCCTGAACTATCTCTTTACTGATAAATTTTTGTTCGCTTAATCCTTCAGGTGTCCTGTGTGATGTCACTACTAAATTGCTTTTACTTAAATTAGTTTGCTGGAGAAAAGAGGGGAGGATTATAAAGATTACCACTTTATAAAAGTAATCTAGACTTTTTTTCCCAGAAAAAGCTGATCTCAATAATTTCAAATCTTTGTCAAAAACATGAAAGCTTTGTTTTAAAGCAAGTTACATTCGAAGATACAATTAGATACAAAAATGATGATCAATGGGAGATGTACTATCTCCTATCATTCCGGTAATTTAGTGTCACTACAGTTCAAGGTAAAGCAACAATGTAGCACTGGGAAGTTCCTCCAGCCTTATTATTCTTCCTACAGTTTCACAAACAACTATTGAACACCACAACCACCATTCATTCAGCATTTTCAATGGGAGAAATAATATTTGCATTCAATTATTTACATGGGGTTTTAAACTTACCATTTTCCCTTGTGGAGATGAGCTTGCTCCCCAAATTAAGATTTCATGTTTAAGAAGAGACTTACTAAAGAAGCATCCTATGTAATAACTACCTTGAAATTTGCTCCCCACGCACCCACCTTAAGCAACTGGTTTCTTCTGTCAGAGCGTTGGGATTTGTTATGTCCAAGAAAATATCTGATCTTCTATTTATTCAAAATCAACTTTGAAAACTCAAGACTAAAGTCAAAGGGGGAAAAAAATTTGTCACTTACTTTGCTTTAGCTTCTGCGTCCTCATAGGCTTTATTAGACACGTCATCCAGTCCTCCAATCAAATGCTTGAAAGAGCTGTCAGGAAAAACACAGGAATCAGGATAAATCACCCTTGAGTCATAACAATGACTACCTAGGCAATGAAGCATTGACACAATCTCAAAAGATCTAACTAAAAATGAATTCAAACATTTAATCTAGGTAGATACGTTATTAAGAAGCACATAAGATAATGATATGAGCTCTGGCAGCAGAGATGTCTTCTACCTTATTTATCTCTATTGTTCCCAACACCTAGAACTGGACTTGGTGAAAGCACATATTCAAAGAATGGGTGGAATAGTCTATGACACACAAAAGGGTATATTTCCCAAAGGAGTGGGTCAATTTTACTAGGGAAATGACAACGAGATCTACCAATTATGGAATGCCTACTGTAGGCACTACACTAAATTATCATGAACATATATTGACTCTAGTTCTCCAATACACTATAAAAGACAAGCATCATTATCTCCACTTAACAAAATTATAAACTAATCTTCAAAGGCAAAAATACATATGTAGAAGATAGGAAAATGACAGAGGAGAATTACAGGAAAGCCAACTTATTTTGGATGGATGAAGATACTAACTTTAGGATCAACCAGGAAGGGTAATACAACTGTGCAAATCCAATCTATCCCATAGTCTACATGGACCCAGAACTGTCTTCAGACTTTATATAATGAGGTCTCATCTATTATGGACCTACAATATAAAATATTACTGGGCCAGCACAAAATGAACACACACACACACACGCGCACGCACGTGCACACACTCACACACGAATCACCCTTGAAAATTACTGAATGAAACCAGATCCCATAACTCTTATGCAAGCACTGAACTAGACTGAACAAAGGAACTGAAGGAAAAATCTACATTCAGAGTGCTCACATAATAATCAGGGCTCTCACTTACGTGGTACTTACATGCCGGGCACCATTGTATGTGCTTTAAACATAAATACTTTAATAGAGCAACGCTGTGAGTCAGTATTACCTCCACTGCATAGACGAGGATATGAAGGCATGAGAGGTTATGAAACCGACCCAAAGTCCCACAGTCCGGCAATGTGGAGGCTGGTAGGCAAGGAGGCGATGCTTCCCCCTCATACTCTCAAGACCTACACTGAACTTCCATCCAAATCACTGTGCCTTCACAACAACCATCAGATCCCCAGTAATGTCTAGCCTGTGCATGGAGAGTGGTAAAGTGCTGTAAGGAATTACATCTTAATTTTAAACCTCTATAATCTTAATGCAAAAAAGTGGCTTTGTGTGAGTATTAAATAATAAAATATGCCTGCTCACGTCCTGAAACATAGGTTATTTGTTGATTTAATGTTAAGTGTTGCTTAACCACATTGACACACACTGGTTTTTGTTTTTGTTTTTATGAAAAATGTGCAAAGAGGGACTTGACTCTTCCTTGGAGCCTGGCTGAGAGGAGACAGGGAGGGTAAGACATCAGCCCTGTGGATAATGATCTCATCTGGGGGACAGGCTAACTGGAATGCTGAGCTAAAACACCAAGTATTTCTAAGACAAAAAGGGACCAAAAGGAAGAGGCAGAAGACTAAGGAATCTAGAACCACAGAGCATCAAGTTTTCTGAGATGAGTTGTGTTAATGAACTTCAAATGGATGAAGGCTGCCTAAGGTGATGGTCCTTATAAAACTTTCCAAAGACATATAATCAGTGATAAAATAAAGGATAAATAATAATCCCCATAGTGGATATCAGTGTTCAAATATGATGTCTGCCATTGTTCTTTACATGGTAGAATTCCCCACAGAACATCTCGGTCATTACTCAGGTAAACTCCCTATAGCGAGGGGGGTTTAAAATTGTATAGTCAAGGGACACCCAGGGGGCTCAGTAAGTTGAGCATCTTACTTTGGCTCAGGTCACGACTTCACAGGTTGTGGGTTTGAGTCCAATGTAGGGCTTTGTGCTGACTGCTCAGAGCCTGGAACCTGCTATGGAATCTGTGTCTCCCTCTCGCTTTGCCTCTCCCACACTTGCACTTTGCCTCTCTCTCTCAAAAATGAATAATTGTTCAAAAAGTAAAAAATAAATAAAACTGTAAAGTAAAATACATATTTTACTTTGAAAAAAATCAATAACGTGGTTGATTTTCTGTTTTTCGAGATCATGTAAGATTTAAGCACAGAGAGTTGAAGTTTCTTGTCCAAGATGACCCAATTCAGCAGCATACCTGGGACTAAAATCTCTGTTTCCTCATTCCCACTCCTTCCTCTACAATACTTAGGTATTTTTAATATAACCAAATCCAAAACACGGTAAAAAGGCATTGATAGAGAGGCACCAAAAAGCACACTGTGGTAAAACCAAAGATCAAGAGCCAGTACAAGAGCTTTTCAAACACATTCATATTATGTTCTTACATGTTTGACATTCAGAATAATTTGGGGAGTTTTTGGGGAGTTCATATAGTTAAAAAATACTTTCTCCTACTATTTATTTGAGCTCAACATGTCTTACACATGATACGATGTGATCAAAGATTTAGGGGGATGTGATCAAAGATTTAGAGGGTGAGTGGATGACAAATTTGATAAGGATGAAGGCCTTTATAACTTAAGAAAACTTGTCCATCCCACTAGGGTTGGTTAAAGCTTTGCAGATCACTTTTTGAAAAGGCAGTTTCAAATTCTTATTCGCAGAGTATACAAATGTAAAATCCTACATCTGGTGAAGCTCTACAGAATCCATCTAATCACAGGAATGAGTTTAAAAGTAAGTTGAGCGTGATAAAAAAAAAAAACCAACACATTTAGGCTGGTTGTGAGCTCTTTAGAGCCATTTTTGTTAAATCTTAGTCCTATCCAATGACAAGTATCACATTTAAAAAGAATGACAAAAGCAGTATTTCAAGAGTGACTTTCTTGTATAAGTTTTCTTAAGTGGTCTTGAGTAAAAATACGAATTTTCTAAGTGGTGCTAATGATTCAATATTTATTAATTTTTGTACCACTAGGTTAGACAAAATGAAGGGAATAACATGAATTCACAAAGGCCCCTAACTGGATAAACAGAAATTTATTTCTGAAATAAACTCCCTCCAATTAAGGAAAATGCTTTTCATTTAAAATGTAATCAGTGTATTGTTATGGAAAACTTTCAACAACTGCGAGAAGAAATTAAGAAAGCACTCATATTTCTCTATCCACAAATAACGAATGGGAGTACCTTTATGTATTTCTTTTCACTTTTTTCCCTGCAGAGCTATATTTCTGTCATTTATAGAGTTGTAATCATAAAGCAGCTGTGATTTATGTTGATTTCTAACTTTCTAACTTAATATTATACCACAAGTGGATACTTTTATTTTTAAAAACTCATAAGTTGTATTATCACAAAGAGTAGGTCACTGTATGTACGCACAGTGGAAATTACCTACAGATCCATGTACACAGGCAGAGACCAACACACACACACACACACACACACACACGCATGCACACACACACACACACACACACACTTACAGAGACAGATGAAAGAGTGCGGCAACTGTGTACAAAAACATTTATATTCATACTATTACAGATTAGACATATGGAATTTTCTTTCAAAATAAAATGCCCAGGATGATCATCTTGGCATTGAAATTGGAACCCTAGGTCCTTTATAAACCATCTTTATTTAGAGAACAATCCTGGCCAAGTAACATTTTTTTCTTGAAACATGGAACAAAGGCTTCCTACTAATATTCTAAGTGCTCCCCAACAGTAAGCCCAACATTATGTTTCCCTAAAAGTTTAAGAAAATGTAGAATGTTCAAGCTGTATTAGTAAGTTCCAGGAGGCTGTGTTGGTGTATCCCTGATCAATGAATATTTTAAGAACCTTGATAAGCTTAACTGACAGTGTTACAGAATTTATCATTCCCAGTACAAGCATGAACAAATTAGTGTTGCATATTTTTTGTCCTTCTGCAGCAACACCTGTCATCTGTGTGGACCTTCATCAAAGAGACATTTGGAAAATTATCACTATAGGCATTGGACACTTTTTAAAATATTTACTCAGGTCCTGAGTACAAGGGAAAGGATTTTGCTGTTTTGTTAAGAAAGAAATTATAATGCAATGGTTTATTTTTTAACTTTAAAAAAATTTTTTTAATGTTTTATTTATTTGTAGGCAAGAGAGACAGTGTGAGCAGGGAAGGGTCAGAGAGAGAGGGAGACACAGACTCTGAAACAGGCTCCAGGCCCTGAGCTGGCTGTCAGCACAGAGCTCGACGCAGGGCTTGAACCCACGAACCATGAGATCATGACCTAAGCGAAAGTCGGACACTTAACCGACTAAGCCGCCCGGGTGCCCTGATATAATGAATGGTTTAAAAACTTTAACAACTGATGAGTAGACACCACAAAATATTACTTATCAGTTAGAACAAATCTAGGAGACTAGAGGACATTCAATTCTGTTCATAAACAATCCCTCAATTCGCGTATGACTTCTATTTTTGCCCTGTGAAATACAAGAGCCAATTTCACATACATTCTAGACATAATTCCAGAATAAATGAAGAAGACGTTCATGAGCAAAAGACATTCATTCAGGGTATTTCAACACAAAACTTCCTGCATGTTAAGGTAGTATTAGGCAACTTTCCTATTCTTCTTGGGATGTAGAATCCAATTTTAATGAGCCTTGACAATATTTAAAAGGGGGTAGACAAAATGTTATGAGTTGAGAACACAGAGGCAGAAAAAACAAATGGAAAATCCCTTTTATGTTTATTGCTGGTATTTCAAACATTCTTGCAAGGAGGCAGTGGAAGAGAAAGGAAGGAAGGTGGAAAAAGGGAGGAAGAAAGGAGAAAAAGATGGATTGAAAGAAAGGAGGAAGAAGGGAAGAGAGAAAAGGAGGGAAGGAGGAAGCAGAAATGCTACTTTCACACCAAGAATGGTATTTATAGCAATTCTCCTTCAGAAACATCATAAAAGGCTATGTTTCTTATATTAGGAAATTTGTCTGTTTCAGAACATGATAGTGA